AAGCCCAGAGGGGACAAAAAGCTCCCGTAATCCCACCACCCAAAGATTACTGCTTTTAATAATTTACCATGTCCTTCCAGAGATTTCCCCTTGCTACAAATTACATTTTCAGAGAAGGAAAAATAAATAGCTAATGAATCCATTAGCAGGTACTTGTGACACAGGCAGGCTCAGAGGACTTTGACTATGAACGTCAGAGAGAGGCAGGCAGCTAATTCCCATTTGGTCAGGGGAAGATTAGTTTATGCTGCTTAGCTCAAACCAGAACTAATGGCCTGAAGTGTTTCTCCATATTTGGGCAAAGCCACCTGGTCGTTGGCAGGGGAACCGCTTTCCTTGCGTGGGCTGCAAACGCAGACAAAGCTTTCAGCCTCCCCCGCTCTGCTCATCTGTTGCTGTTTGTCATTCATCAAGTGTAGCAGGTGCAGAAGCTCCCGGCAGACACAACAAACAGGGCCACTGTCCAGCCTGTGGGGCCGCTCCTCACCCTTGCTTCCTGCAGGCACATCCCCTTCTCACCAGGGTCCCTGCCCCGGGCGAGGACCCGCAGACCGAGGGGGTCTCACTCCCCGGTGACAGAATTGCCTCCGGGCCTGCCTGTGGACAGAAATAGTGTGTGTCTGGGTTGGTGACTCAGGCTGGAAGATTTTGTTTATGGTTTTATCATTGCCTTAATTTAATTGCTGCATAATGAGTAATCTGTAGACCATCCCTCCCACTCACGCTGCCCTCCCCTGCGCTCTTGGGGAGGACCGGTTTGCTGCAATCCTAGTGCAGCATCCGAACCAGTCCGTGGGCCAGGGCCCCCAGTCCTCGGGCCAGTGCACTGCCCTGAGGGTCTGGGGGCGGGGGGTCCTCTGGCATCCTTGGGAGGCTCCAGAAGTTGGGGTGATCCCTGACCTCTGCATTGGGCTTGTGCGCAATCATTTCAGGAAGGAGGAAGAAGAGGAAGAACAGGGATGGCTCCTTCCAAATAACCCCCAAATCTTGACCAACCCACAGCCCAGCCCCCCATGACGTGGCCCCTGGGGAGGGCAGGCAGACAGAAGAGGAAGAAAAGAAATGGAGAGCAAAGAATCTAGGAGATAGGGGCAAGTGAAATTTGCAAACAGAATAGAAGGTCAGTTCCTCTTTGTCCTCTCCCCCAACTTAGGTCCCCAAGAAGAATTGTCAAAGGCTCTTTACATCTGTGGCTCCCAGACCAGCTTCAGGCAGCTATGGGGATCTAGTCTCTCTCTTTTTGGCCCCAAGTTCATGTTGCTCCTGGGGCCACAGCTGTGGCAAAGCTTGAGCAGATGCTAAGTCTGAGCGCTCAACTGACCAAGTTTTCCGCATGGCAGTGGACAGTCGGCACAGAAGGGTCAGCTCATAGGGGTGGCTGCTCATTGAGGAAGCCAGGGTTGGAGACCTAGAGTTTCTTCTGAAGGCAGCTGCCGAAGAAGGCCCACTTTTCTAATGGAACAAGTGAGGACTTAACCAAAGGACAAGCCAGTGAAAGCTCTCTACAGGGCAAGAGAGTCGCTGAGTCGTGGTGTGGTTGGCCCTCTAAGACTAGGGTTTGTGATAAATACCCATCCAAATCTCAGTGGCTTAATATAGTAAAAGTTTGCTTTTCATGCACAGGAAGCTCAATGTGGGTAGGTGACTCTCCTTGGCAGCTTTCTCCCAATCGTGAGAGAAGGATCCGGGATGCTTCCTCCATCTAGAGGTTTTTGCTTTCAACCACATAGACTGAGGAGAGTGTGGAGAAGTCATGCCTGCTCTTACGAGCCTCCAGCTAGAAGTGACACCTCATTACTGCTCACATTCTCATTGGCCGGAAGTGGTCACATGGCCTCAACCAAACTGCAAAGGAGGCTGGGAAATGTGGAGGAGTAGCTGGATATTTTGTGAGCATTGAGTGTCTTTCCCAAGCCTTGGAATTTGAAGCCTCTGGGTGCTTTTATTTTTCTTCCAGGAAATGGTTCTAATAACAACCCCTGCTCTGAGACTTATCGTGGGCCCTCCCCTCAGTCGGAGCCAGAGGTGGCTGCCATCGTGGACTTCATCACATCCCATGGGAACATCAAGGCTCTGATCTCCATTCACAGCTACTCTCAGATGCTCATGTACCCTTACGGCCACTCACCGGAGCCTGTTCCAAACCAGAAGGAGTTGGTGAGCTTGGCTGCTGGGGGCTCGGGGGAGGCATCAGGCAGGCTCCCACAGGGTTGAGGCCCTCACTCTGAAACAAGGGTCTGGACCAGTTGACCCCATGGTAGGAAGGAGAGGAGAGCTTGTTGTGCTCACATGTGGTCAAGTTCAAAGCCGGAGGTGCTGTGCTCCCTTCTCATGAGAGTCATCTACATATCCAACTTCCAGGACTCCTGAGTTCCCGTTTCTCAGCAGCTGGTGAGGGTGTGGGAGCACGGGAGCCCCGGCCTCTCACCCTCTGGATGTAATCTCACAGTACGATCTTGCCAAGGACGCAGCGCAGGCCCTGTATGAGGTCCACGGGATCCAGTACATTTATGGCAGCATCAGCACCACCCTCTGTGAGTGAGCCTTCCCC